CTCCGTCTCAGACGGCTTTAAATCTGCCTCCAATTTCATAGAAGCTGGTTCAATCCGCAAAAGACCTCAGGTGGACAGAGAAATGGCGTGCCTTTAACCAACGCTTAATGTTGCTGTTTAAAAAAAGAGGTAAATACAATAATAATATTATTATCATGAATAAATGCCTCTGATCTTTAGCTAACAAGCCAACACAACAGGTTGTTCTGTGTGTGTGTGAGTCTTCACACAGCCTCATCTGTATTCATTTATGAAGGAAGTGCAAGAGGCCCTCTCAACGTGTTTAGAGTATATGATGAACTAATGGAGATAGATAGCATGATGAATCCACTCATCTGTAATGGATTAACCTCGTCTGGCCCCCAGAAGCTCATCTAATCAGCCTGAATCGGCTTGTTAACGTATCACGAAACCAGCGGCTCCCAAACATTCAGCCCTGGGACAGACACACAGGAGGTGTTGCCACCGAAAAAGTCGATCCAGGTGTAATTGACCTCACTTTATTATCTACTGGATAGCTTCCTTCTTGGGATACTCTGTAAGGACCACGCAGACGTCTAGTTGCTTTGCGTTGCTGCCAAATGAGCAGCCATTGGTCTTTTCAGTAGACTTCAGCTGTAAACTAACAATATCTAAGTATCAATTAATCTGCAGAAGAACTAATGAAATATCCCCATCACAAGTTCACACAGCCAAATTGTTTGATTTGTCTCAACAACAGTTCAAAACCAGGTTCTGAAAAGTGCTGAAGTGTCTTAAAGCTGCATTCTCTCTACTGGCCATCAGGAGGCGACTGGTTGCAAAAAGAAGTCAGATTGTGTAGAACTCTATGAGAAAATGACTACTTCTCACTCGGGTTAGCCTCTAGTTTCAAGTCTTCTTCAATACAGCATGATGTTCATTTAGTAAACCATGGTCCATTTAGAGTCAAATAGACCATAAAGCAGGGGATGCTTTAGGGCGGGCTTACTGTGATTGACAGGTCGCTACACTAGCGTTGTCCGTCTCACAACTTCAACCCTTTCACAGAGTGTTTTCACTGCAGGAAAGTTCAAAGGAACATTTTGGTTGCCTAAAAATGCTCCACCTTCTCGTGTCACTTCTGGTTCTAAAGAAAGAACAAGATGGCGACAGCTAAAGTGACAAACTCAAGGCTTCGGAACGGCAGTCCACAAACCAGTGGGTGATGTCACTGTGACTACGTCCACTTCTTACAAACTGGTCAGTCTGGAACCAGAACTGGTTTAGCATTTTAGCATAAAACGATTAATCAATTATCAAAGTTATTGCTGATGAATTTTCCATCAATCAAGTACTCCGTGTTACGTTTCTGTCACTCATTCTCTGCCTCTTTGTGTTTTGTTAAATTATGTGTCAAATGCAAAAAAAAAAAGCACTAATAAATGATATTTGAAGGCTCAAAATAAAAAGCACTTATGCAAAGATGCCTCCAGCACTAAAGAATGATTGTTATTCAGCAGCTGACATTAAAAGCTTGAACGCGTCGAAAGCAAAGCACCTCAACGAACACTTCCTTGTTCAAAATATTCTAAAGTGGCCATCTTTCTTTGTCTTGTTTAAAGTGAAAGCCAATAATAAATCTATGGCATTTCCATTGTATCGTATGGCGGAACGAGTAAAGCAGTAAATAAAATAAATCAATAGCTCGCTGCTGTAATGGCATTATTCTTCTATACATCTTATGATGCTAATGAGCAGGTCAGCTGATTAATGATGATGAGCATAATAAACATGATGGAGGAACGCTGTTGGCTGCAATGCTATTCTGGTGAATGTGAGCAACTGTTTGACTTCATTTTATCCTCACATGTGATCAGCAGCTTCTCAAATACAGATTACCTTGTTAGGAATGTGGATTTTATTCAATGCAGTTTGGTTCACAGCAGTTTGATCACTTACTGTACATCCAGCATGTCAGATAAGGTCCGGCTTTGACTCCCCTTCTCCAGAGTCACTCTTAAACCATTGTGTGCGTGCCTTTGTGTGCTTGAGTGGCAGAGCATTTATGCTGCGAATAATATTTACACAGCCCACTGTGGACCACCAACTCTGCAATGCTTACACAGTGGGTCCTGCACACACACACACACACACACACACACACAGAGAGAGTGCTGTCCGGTGAGATCCGCTCCTATGACATAACCCGGTTCCAGTTTTAAACAAGCCGTTATAATGCAGCGGCGAGCATGTGATGGGGCGCGTCTCATTCATTAGCTGTACCGTCTCGGTACAAACAGTCTTCTACCATCGACCAGAAAAAAAAGCAAAAAAGCACATGTGCTGAACACAGGAGCATCTGCTTCATGGTGGTGATCTACCTCAGCAGGCCCTGCAGCACCGGCCCTGCTACAGACAGAACCTAATGCAACATTCACACCTTCATTTTCTACTTCTCTTCTCTGGCACAAGCTCAAATAAAACATGTGAAAAGAAGTTCAAAAAAACGGCAAAGCTCGTATTCACCGTCTTTGCTTTGAAATATCTAAATCACGTTGGGTTCTTGTGTGTATGAAGGCTCCTGCATGGAAGACAAAACAGACTTGGCAAGAGTCTCTGCCACTTTCTGCTGTATTCATTTAAAAACAGCCAACACGATGTGCATTTGTATGATTTCCAAAATGCCCGTGCAGGTCTGCCAATCCAATCCGCCTTAAATTCTTCTCTAACCAACTTAGCTGCTCGTTCTGCAGGAGCAGCCTCCGTGAGTTGTGTAATATTTTAATCGAATATATTAAAAGTACCTCTGTTCTGCAGGAGAGCATGACATGGCTTTCCTCTCCATGACCGGGTTCTCATCCTCGAGCAGCACACGTACAACTCTTTGATGTTAATCCCCCGAAGGGAAATCCCCTTTTGGGAGTTTGGTGCGTCAGCCACAAAACGGAGACCTTGGAGCCGGTAGAGATGCTTTGTGCTGCTCAGGGACACTCGACGGACCGTCGGTCGACGCGGTGCAGGTCCACCACTTTTAAGAAGGTCTGTGTAACCATTGGGACTTTCCTCAAGGACACGAATAAAACCTTAAACACACACAAACCATCTTACACATGAAGACCAGCTTACTCATCCTGGAGAGTTCTTTTCAATCTGTGTCTCCTGTGGCTTTCCTGATTAGCTCATGGAGGTTACCTTGAGTTGTGCATTTCTAATGTTTCACAGAAAGCTGCATTATTAACTGGGGGCACGGAGTTTAAAAGATAACAGGATGATAAGCCGAAGGAAAGACTGTTCTATTGTTCTATCTATTCTTTGCACAGGGCATGACAGAACATGATCACTCAGATACTTATTTTCATATCGGTGTTGCGCGTATCATCAAATTAATTTCCATCACTGATAGACACAGCGGTTCACCAAAGCTATGTGGCATCTGATCCTAGTTCCCATCCACGGGTCACGAAGGAGAGTCGGCTAAACGCTCCCCGACCCGTTCAGACAGACCGTCGGGCGTGGGCCTGCGTCACAGCTTTCTGTCTGAATATGAAATATTGACATGCAGCTTTGCAGCTCGTAAAAACCACAGTACATATGGATCTAGTGAACGTCTACCTGTGCACGGTGTCTATCTCCAACTTCAAACATCTTGTCAAGACGTCATGCAGCCCTGTTACAAAACCATCCGTGTGTGCAGTCGGTCTGAGCAGCAGCTACCGTCACACAAAGGGAAGACATGAGGAGGCAGAATATGTCTGGTTTGCTTTGAATAATTTCATATTTATATTCTCTCGGTACCTGCAGATTAGATTCCAGGTACACAGGAATGTACTTAGCAAATAAATATGACTCAGGTAACAAATTTGTTTTCACGCCACCCACCTCTCCGCATCAGGAATGAAAGAATATTGCAGTGGTTCATCTTCAATTTCTGTATTTTTTTTTCAGGGGGCTTGGATTTGGATGCACATTCTGTTCTTTTTTTTGCTCCAGTGTGTTAAAACATCCCACAGATGAAAATGATCCAGGCAGGATGTTCAGCTGGGGGGTAATAATAGATACCCAAACAGACGTGAGCAGCTAAAAGCTGATTCCACTTGGACTATTTGGCATCCTCACATGAAATGAATGGGTTTTTAGCACAAAATGGCTGCCTGACAATGTAAGCAGGGGGATCGTGTCACCTGAGAGATAGCATTGAATCTGTACAGTGTGATTACTGACGGGTGACTTCAAACATACAGGCCGGATAACTCAGATTTGAATTTGATCCAAAAACAACTCTAGTGACGATAACCAGCACCTCAAACACGACACTGCAGATAAACTTAGGTAAAGTTTATCAAAACAGAGGTGACAATAAACCCACACACAATGCTAAATATGATTTAAGAAGTTTGGATGGATACATCATCAGTGGAAAGATCTTCCTAAATATGAGCAGGACAAATCATGATTCCCCTCATGAATAGACACTTGTGTCTAAAAATGCAGCGTATAAACACTGAAGTAGAATCCGCATGAATAAGGCAAATGTTGCTTTAACGTGAATGTCAGTCATTGGCCCCTATTGAGGCCACACCAAGTGAATGAAACCTGATATCTTTCAGTCAAACAGAAACGCACACAACTCTAAAGTTCAAAATAAAAAAAACATCCAAATCTCAAGTCAGCGTGGGAGAGAAACTCAGCAAAAGACTGTTTTCCCCACAGTGAAGACGAACTCAAGACAACTGCAGCAACACCATCCCCAACATGTGCCGTCGCATTACTCATCTCATGTGTCCAAACAATAGCATGTTAAGGAGAATCAACCCCCCGGGTGACAAATGTCCTGTCAGATGTGTGACGCCTGCTGCTGCTCTAGTCTCACAGGAACAAGCACGTTTCTACAGAAAGCCTTTAGAAAGCTGCAGCCTCATGTTTTGGACTCAGAAGCACAGGAATGACATACCTTTTGTGACTGGAAATGCGTATGCTCGGCAACACTCACACACGTTTGGTCTTACCGGGCGTCAGACGGAGTTAGGGTGAAAGGATATGGGTTACACACGAGGCGCAGACACCAGTTGCGAGGCCTCGTTGTTTGCTTTAACCAGAAGAAGGCCACGGGGGCCAGGGCCGGGTACGGCTGCTGCTCCTCCTCCTCCTCCTCGGAGACGCAGTCCGGATCCCGAATAGGAGCCCTGATGCGAACTCCGAATGTTGGTCCGACTTCCACCTCCAGCTCTGGTTCCAGGTCTTCATGCTCCTGAACCTCGGGACTCCATTCTGCTCCGTCTCCCCTCCTCCTCCTCCTCCTCTCCACCTCCTCCTCCTCCTCCTCATCATGGCCTCCTCCGGGGTCAACGCCATGACCCGGGGCATCGCTCCTGTCGAGCGTCGGTATGGCGAGCCTCACCTCCTCCTGCCCCTCCGGGCACTCTGCGTACTGAAAGCGCACTCTCCCCTCGCCATCAGTCATGATAGAGCATCAGGCAGAGCCACTCTGAGGGGAGGTCAGAGGGAGAGGGGTTAGAGAGAGGTGCAGAGACGGAGGAGAGGAGAGAACATGTGCAGAAGATGCAGGGAAACGGAGAAGGACGAGGGCGGAGCAGAGATCAACTTAGCAAAGAGCAATCGGAGACAAATCCCATAATGAGCCAAATAAACCTCCGCCGATCCCTCAGCAGCTAAAGAACTCGCGTCCGATCAATCTGGACACAGATCATCAATATTCGCTTACTAACCTGGCAGCGCTTGAAGCTTTACGGGAGCATTTATTTCCAAACATTTCCTCTTTCTGTGTCTCTCAATTTAAAAAAAGAACACAAATGAAGATGATCAAAGGAGAATCTTTGGAGGAACATCAAATAAACAGTGTGTGAATATGATATAGGAGATAAACAAATAGAGTGCAATGACTACTGAAGAGCAGTCAGACAATCATCTGCTGTTCCAGTGACACCATGTAGTTAGAAACACTAATGTGTCTCCAGAATGAAGCACTAAACTCATCAGAGCTACAGAATCATATTGTGACATAATGAGAATAGGGATTTGGTTTCTTCCTGCTCTCCCTCGCTCTTCCTGTTGCTATGTGATTGAACAGATGGACTGCTCTGTGTCTGGTCTACTGGAGGTTTTTAGCCCACACCACGCAATGGTGGGCAGGGAATGCGCAAAAAAGAAGAAGAAAAAACACACACACACAACAAATGCCACACTAATCCTGATTATTATATTTAAGTAGAATAACATCAAGAGCCAAACATTAGTCATCATAATCCAGCTAACAGACTTTTCTCTTTTTAAGGCTTTTTAATGGGCTTTGTTGTCCACCGTAGACCGTTGTGTGTGAGGGGGGGGAAAAGCGCATCTGACGCTCGCGACAGTTGTTCGCTCTCCTGAAGGCATTGTGTGACAAAAGAGCGGAAATGTTAAGCATGCTGTGGAAAAGTACATTTCAAACGGTGTCAAAGGAAATAAAAACACACACCGCCGGGGAGAAATGGAGCGCCCATCACCTGTGTTTTGGTGTTTTTTTTCTCCCTTAAAAAGTGGACTCGATGGATATTAAAGCATTAGAGGCAGACAGAACAACTTTATTCTTTAAAAAATACCTTATCGAGACGGAATCGGAAGTTCCCATAAGCATGATCCGAGACTTTCCGTGTTTCCAGCGCGCCCAGCCTTCCTCAGCTACCCGGAGCTTTCCTTCTCCTTCCGTCTCCTTCCGCTCTTCCAAATCTCCTCACTTCTCTTTGCTTTTCGCAGATCACAAAGGTAATCCGAGAGCCGTTCAAAAAAAAAAAAAAATCACTGGAAGTATTCAAAGAATCAACTGCTGTATTCTTCCCCTATCCACATCCGTGCAATCCACCCGTCCATCCTCGCCGAGGTGTTGGTTACGCAGCGTGGAGCGGAGATGCGCGCGTGGAGGACGGACCGTGCGGGTCGCGCTCTGCTGGAGCTCCGTGGATGATCTGACACTGAGAAACTTGGCCCAGGACCCCGGGAGTCCTGACACGTGACGTGATGCCGGGCTGTCGGGGACGTAGCTGCACAGTAGGAGACACGCACACACACGCGCGCGCGCGAGAAATAAATAATAAAAAGAAAGCCACGAAGAGCCATGCCGGGCGCGCACACTCCGCGGCGTTTCACGCATCAGCATGCAGTCAGCAGATAATGGAAATGGAATGAAAAATGTATTAGCCAGCCCATATCTTCTGTGGTGGAACACACGGAACCATTGTTTAGTTTATGTGATAGAGTCTTCCATTATATCCCTCTAATGTGTAGCCATAGTAACAAAGTGTTTCTGTATGAAAACCCTAAAGGCGAGCTAAAGATTTAGTGTCTACATCTTCCATCTATTGATTAAAAAAAAGTAGATATAGACATAGTATTTCCCCTGAGGTGATCTGTTTATCTGTTGTGAGTTTGGTTGTCCGCCTACACCTGAAAAGGTGCCTCAGACATGAAGGGGGGGGGGGAGATTTCCTCAAACTGGCCTGCAAAGCGATTTTTTCAGGAAACATGACGCCCACTTGCCCCAGACGACACAAAGAGAAGTTCATTTGTTGGAGTCTGGTGTGATAAGCTATATGTTTTATGATATCTTATTGAGCTCATTAAATCCCTTTCAGTCACGGATCCAGGATTGAGACCAGATGGGCCACTTTTAAAGCAGTCCCAGATCATTTCATACCAGATTTGGGTGAGTCTGGTCTGGTCTGGATCCGTATTGTGTTTTTCCGGTCAGGACCCAGTGGACTCCACAGCTCATGAGAGGCCGACCACCGGAGGCAATGCAGTCAAGTGTCGGCTTACGCTGTCTGGGATTGATGTGTGATGAGTCAGCTGGAAGTCACCTGGCTCAGTCAGAAAAGTAGGACTACTGTATGTGTGCAAAGAAACAACACACAGAGGCCTGAAAAACTTTCTGTGGCACATGAATGCAGCGTGACGGGGAGCCATCTTGGAAAACACCATCTTCCTGTAAACTACACATTTTAATTTACTTTTAACAACCGTGTGGTGCTCGCTTACAGACGTCAAAAAAAGAAAATAATTTTCAGTTTTTGGGGTGCAGCTTTCCCATTCTCTTCATTTGATTTACACAATGTGAAACATTGTGTAAATCCTAAATGATTAGTTTATATATACATTTTTACACACACAACAGCCAACATTGCCTAAATGCACCACGTATTTGTCAAGACAATGTATTGTTTCTCCTTCATGTTACAGTGAAAACCTGTCAAATTAAAGCTTAATCTGAAAAGTTGGCTTTGTAAAAAGTGTTTTTGTTTTGACTCGTTATCAACAATCTCCTTCATATTTTGTGGAGCATGCTCGTCACGGGTCAGTACCTGTATTCAATCAGGCAGCTGCTGCTGCGTCCGCGCCGCGTCAACGTCTTTATAGGCAATTTGATCTCGACAATCCATTTAAGCTCCCATGCTGCCTGGATGATTGATCACAAATACATACACTATATATAATGAAGAGTGTTTCAGAGAGAGAAGACGTCGGGCTGTTGGACGGAGTTTTATGCAGTGAGTTTAATGCCGGACATTTGGATCCTGAGCTGCCTCACTGTCGGGGGGGTCGCGCTGTTAAACCCTGCTGACATCAACACCAGAACCTGCCAGAAACATGGCAGTAATTGATATCTGGTGGGGAGAATGAGAGAGATTCAAAAGCCCCTCATTTTGAATCTCATTGCTCAGGGTTCATTTAGATCTGACAGCGGATAGGATGAGGATCCTCCAGTCACACGAGGTCACAGAAGAAAAGGAAGAGTTTGGTAAGCCAATCTCCCAAATACCTGAGGTCATCCCTTAAACAATGGCGTCTCCGGAAGAGAACAGCGTAGCACTCATAACAGAACTGAGTATAACTTTAGTGGAATAAGAGCAAAGAACAACATTGAAGACTTCTCTCAATGGAAAAGATGTTTTCACTCTTCTCCCGACTGGCTTCAATGAGAGTTTGATTGACAGATGATTCATCCAATCACCTGCCAAGTATTTCTTCTTCTTTAACGCGCCTGCTCTTTTTCAAACAGTTTCCAGTGACGGCTTCTCTGATGTTTCAGTGTGACGAACCATCTGGCAGGTCCGGTTACAATAATGTGGTTTTGCTTCATTTTAATGTACGAAATAAAATCCGCCGAAAGACCACTTAGCAAAAGATCTTCAGGGCTCTCGCCTGGGTTAGAGTCCTCAACGTTCAGTCAACTGTGCTGTTTGATGATTGTAACATGATTCAATCAGATTCGTTGTAAACACACTGCCAGTAATTCAGCGTTGCCCTCGAGCGATCTCGTGCCGTTCACTCTAAAACATCCGCTCTGAACAAACACAAGGTCGCTGCCAACCTTCTCGCCGCACGAGGCTGTAAGCCGATCAGAAATAATAATAATTTGGCAAAAGGTTGATGTTCCCCTTCAAAACCCTCGGCAGCGGAGCCGTGTCGCGGAAAGCCAATTAAGGAGTCGATTGAAGTCGTGGAAGTGAAGGGACAGTGGAGACGCTCTGTTCTAAAGCGGAGGACCAAGTTTAACCTGTGGTCTGTTTTTAGGGAGGATAGTCTGTACTTTGATGGTCATGTAGCATTACTAAAGAGAGGTCTTCCTAAGAGGGTCCTGTGATTGATCCAGATGGGGTTTTATATGAGCCACCACTCTCAGCTGTGTGTATACAAACCTGACAGCCTGGTGTGAATTTGCTCCATTTGCTGGATACCAACCCTTCAACTTTGCTGCCGATTTCAAAACACTGCCGTGTACAAAATGCATTTGGTCACAAATTCCAGATGGCGACAAATAACAGACTGTTTGATATATATATATATATATATATATTTAGGGAAGAAAACATCTCTCTTCACACTGTATTTAACTCATTTATACAATATGTATTGCTACCAGTCTAAATCAATGGGAATGTGAGTGCTTCTCGCAGATAATCAATAGTCCTCCATCAGGCTGCACCCTCTCTGGTTTCCATTCCCTGGCTATCCCGACCACTCCCCCATCCCTTCGTCCCCCGTGCTCCCCTCCACTGTGACTCCCACGCTTTCATCATCCAGCCTTTTCTCCCGGCTCTTTCTCATCGCCGACCATTACCCGATCCTAGGAGGGATTTTTGAAGTACAGTTGAGGGGGAGAGGATCGCCGTCAGACACACACAGAGATTGGTTTTCATTTCAAACACTACATAGACTTCTGAAAAAGCCAGACATCCAATCAGACATGTTCAATTGTACAGCATCAGAAGTATTTTGAATCAATTCATCTATGAGATGGGGGGGGTCCACTATGTGGAGAGTACTTCTTTACGAAAACATGTTCGTCATGTTTGGTTTCAGTTTCATTAATATCAGTAAATGTGAATTGCATTGCATAATGGTGAACGGGCAGCGTGAGCAGTGAGAGCAAAATGTCTGAACACACCAAGAAAACAAACCCCCCAAAAAAAAACGTCTTTCACAGAAACTGCAAAATGAAAATCATGGTGACCTCTTGAGATGTGAAGTGCAGAACCACAACAGACATCAGGGACGTCGCCAACGTAACAACAAAGTCGACGAACGGCTCTTAAATATTTCAGCATTATCAATGTGTCTCTCGGCTCTATCGCACCTCGTCTTCTGATCCATCTTGGCTCGCTGCATCTTTCCATCCACCCACCCATATTCCCCCCCCCCCCCCCCGTCTCTGGAGACTGGAGTCTTGTCATCAGGCCCTGCTGACGTATGTGAGGTGGGGGAGACCCTGCAAGTCGTGTTTCAGAGGGCTTCCCCCTGCAGCAGCACGGGTACCTCGATACTGTCCATGTGCAGACACGAGTGTGCCACCAGTGTATTGCACAAAAGCCTCTGAAATATGCATATTACTGATGTATTATTGAAATCAAGCTCAGAAAAGTACACCGGGTTAAATAACAAAGTGAAAGAGAGAGTGACGTCGTTGGAAAGAAAGAGAAAAGGATAAAAAGATGTTTAACAGTGGGGTTTGGTTTTTCATCCCTCTTTCTGGCTGCATGCAAAGTAATCATTGTAATTAGAGTACGGGAGAGCAGAACATATCTGTGCATTCATAAACACAACAGGAACAGAGGAAACAGTTACATAATCACACACAAACACCAGCAGAAAGCCTCACACACACACACACACACACACACACACACACACACACACACACACCAGTCTGGAGCATCACAGCTTTAGAGGGGAATCTGTCATGCTACTACAGAGTGCACTGAACCATGCAGCTCAGTCATACATGTTGACAGGTGGCATCAGGTTCATCTGCATACAGCCTGTGTACACGTGTTGTGTGTGCATGAATGTATAAATATGTATATTCTTTTTAAACAAATATATGGCATTTCTACACACGTGTACATCAGGATTATTCTAACTACGTGTGTCGCATCTACCTGGGAGCATGTTGGTGCTAACAGCAGTAACACTCTCACAGCTTCAAACTACTGTGGTGGTTAACTGGACACACCTAGACAGAGTACAACTGATTGAAACTTGAACAGAACAAAAAGAAGAAGAAGAGCATCAGAGGAGGGATCCCTCTCCCAGGATGTGTACAGAATGAACCACACAGCTAATACGATTAGGTTGGACCGCTCTGGTTCCCCTCAGAAGGTCAGAACTCGGACTGTTTGTGCTTGTGAGCAAATCAGGTAACCAGGTCAATGCTACTGTGTTTTTAATGGTTTGAGACCAGCCACGGATAAAGGGTCGGATTTAGTCTGTATTTTTTATAGCAGCGCTTTAAATTTGCCATGAAATGGAGATTAGCAGCATGGAGACATCATGTAACTCCAACTGGTGCGGGCTTCATTCTAGAGAGCGTTACGAGGTATCACATAGATAATCGGTGACCACAGGGGAACTTAACCCCATCTACAAAAAACCTTTGCTATTTTAAGTTCATAACAAGTAACAACAAAACTTCTGTTCTTTTACTTAACAGAATAACTTTTACACATAGTAGAAAACCTACACTTTACATTTTAAGTGAAACACTTCTTCCAACCAC